TATCTCGCAGTATGTGATAAAAATGCAATATTATTCATTGATTATCAAATATACAGGGTGGGTCAAAAAATAAACAAAGCTATCATTTTAGAGCATTTCATCTTTCCTTTGAGTATTTGTCATCTGAGAGTCACAGGTTCTGGACAGGAGGCAGGAGAGTGAGATGAGAACTTGCGGTATGAGAGAGTGAAAGGTGGATGGAGGGCGTCGCGTGACTTACGTCCGACATCCCTTCAATCTCTAACGTAGACCCAGGACTTTAAGATGGGGCATGGGTGTAGATTCGGTGAAGCTGACTTTGGGACTGGGGGTGGTTGGCAGTTTGTGTTCAAAATATAGAAAGTTCTAGTTGTAAGTCTCTGGCGTTTTGCAGGTATACCACATATTTTTTGCTGCTGGCTTTCTGTGCATTCTTTACTTCATTATAGTGCTGCTCCCTACATGAAACCATGATCTTGGGTGTTCTTGTTTCTTTTTTTCTCTTCATTACACTGTGCTGCTTCTCACACCTGCCTAGTTTGCAAAGCAGCTTGGGAAGTTAAGCTCTTTCGTTTTCTCCTTCCTTGGTTTCATGATTTTAGATCTTGAATGGGCTGTCTCTAATCCTGTAGTTGCCCATGAAATCATAGGACAGCATTTCCCAATCAGATTTCAGTTTGTATCAAACAATCTTCGGTACTCAGTTGCTCCCTGGAAATTATACTATGAACCAGTCCTGAATGAAATCTTCATTACATGCTCTTATGAAACAACCTAATGTGATGAAGTATAGTCATATAGGTTTTATGGATGGAATTGGTTGTACTATCAGGAAGGAGGTTTTACATTGTGGAAATACAAAACTTAAGCGTGACATATGGTATGATGAGCAGACAATGAGCTTCATTTATGTCTTCCCTTTAGGTATTAGAGGCTTCCACTTGACATTTAAAAATGGTTCCTTTACCTGAATGATTCCTTGATTTCTTGCATAACAATTTCTTTTTTCCTGGATGCTAATCCAATCCATTACTAGCTTTGCCTTAGATTCACACCTTATCTGGTAGACCTAGGCCCGTGGCAAATGTCAGTCATGCTCTGGCATGAGGACCGTCTCCTTGCTACTTGCATCTCCCATTCGTGACATACTCTCATGTCCCTATGTGCCTCCTAAATAACTTAATATGCCAAGTTCACATTGTTCTTTCCATGTGAACTTTTCTGTTCAACGTAGGCTAGTGTTTGGCAGCTGAAAAATGTGGGACACCAGACGGCTGTATGTTGCATGTTTCTAGACAAATACCTGTCAATAGAAGTGATCATTTACACATCCTTGAGATAGCCAGGTCTTTGCAAGCAAGAGGGAGGGTTTATGAGGGCTTTGTCTGGCTTGCTGATATCTGATGTATGTGATACTTCATTGAAGTATCATATATGATGTTCATGGATTTTTAGCCTGGAAGGGATCCTTGGCATATTAGCAGTTGAGGGATTGAACACGAACTCTTATTTGATCTTCATGTTGATGCTCTAGCATTTTCATAGGAAATACTATAGTGTAACTTCTACTTTTTATAATGTGATGAAGTTGGGAACCTTAAAATTAAACTTCCAGAAAACTTTATGTATGTCATGCAATGGGAATATGTAGAAAAATGTACATGTTCTACAGTCTTGGTGTAGGTAGTTCACTGGAGATTGAAAATTGAATGGAATGGTGCCTATACACATATACCAGCCCCACCTGGGAGGGCTTAGACACTGAAGTTTGTCTGACTTGGCCAGTCCCTAGCTTATCATGTAGGTGGGCTTTTTTCCTCTCACTTCATTATTTACTAGGGTGAAGGAGATCCTAATGCTGTGGGTTCAGTCCAAATGTCGGAGATGACCCAAAATAGTGAAAGGGATTGCAGATTGCCCAGCTAACACCTATTGTGGATCAAAAGCATACATTAGTCATATCTTGATTCCTTAGTTGAGGACATGTCCTTGATTTCATGAACTCATTTTTTTAGTATGACCTAGAAGGTTTGGAAACTAACATTCCCTCTAATATTGTATTAACTAAGCATCATAATGCTTAGCTAGCAATTAGCAGAAACCTATGCAAAAACAGAAGTTTGGCCTTCTGACTAGTAGGGGAAATGTCATTATTAGTGCTGAGATTCAGCGATTGGGCATGAATGCCAATGCCAAGGCATGCTTGAATTTCTGATTAATGTTCATAACTTGCTGGTATTTATTCTCAAAGGCTTTAATCGGCATTCTCTTTGTCATGCTGGACATTCTAGCTCCTATGAATGTAATGTTTATTTTGTTCATCAGTTTAACTGATGGAAAAAATATTATTTTAGAAAATCTCCTTTTGAAATTTGCCCCCCTGGGGCATTTATTTCCAAAGTCTGAATTTTTCTGCACACAGCATCCCAATAGGTAGTTATGTACCAAGTTTCCTTTTTTCCACAACAGCTCAATACGCCAGGGCAAAAAAAAAAGAATTACATGAATACGACGTCCGCTAAAAATATGCCCCCATAGGGCATGGATCTTAAATTTTACATTTTTCCCGAACTCATCGTCTCGATAGGCACGTCCAAGGCAAGTTTCAGCTTTCTGGGTCTCTCCATTTAACTCGAGCAAAAACATTGTTACGGAGTGGGAATGAGTAGCAGGAGTTGGAAGGCATGAGAAGTCGAAAAGAAAACCAAGGAACCGCCGGGAATTGGACACGTGCCTCCTGATTGCCGGTCAGGTGTGCTACCACTATCCCACCGAAGCCAGGACATCCTGTTAATTTTCTCGATGCCATCCAAATCCGTCACAATATATATATTTCAAAACTTCCTCCCCCAAAATGTGTACCCCCAGGGCATATACCTCCAAAGTCGGATTTTTTCTGAACTCTGCATCCCAGTAGGTACATGTATTCCAAGTTTCAGATTTCTAACTTCTCTAGAACATGGTTAGAATTGGCATCAGTCAGTCAATCAGTCGTATCCTTCCATGATACGTTGGTGCAATGTATATTATGGCACGAAGGGGAGGCATGGAGCATAAGAGTGCTAGGAGTGTCCTCACTTGAAAAACTAAGAGGTTTATTGCAGGCACTTATCTAAGCGTGGCAGGCAGAGCCATGCCTCCTTCGAGGCAAACCTCTTAATCTTCATTCGATTTCCCCTTCCTTCCATGCAGCCTGTTTCTGCGTCATCAACACCAGAAGGCCCTGTCTGTGCCGTGCGATCATGGCGGAGATCATGCCGAGGAAGTGATCATGGCTGTTGTTGTCTTTTTCGCGGCGCCGTGCTCTCCGAGAAAGTGAAGGTGGTGACGTCACCTGGATGCATCGCGTGAGATAAGGAAGCAGTGCATCATGGAGCTCTTGGAAGGTACGATGGGTTCTGCGCAGTTTTCATCAGGCAGCTGCCTGCGATCCACAATAGAGAAAAGTGGTACTAGTGGTATATTTATTCAGAATGACCCATGCAAAGACTAGTTCGATTTTTATACTTTGCTGACAGTGGCCGTTTTGAAAAATTCAATGCATCGACCTGAAAGGAAATCAATGCACCGGCGGTCCCCTCGATCCGTAAGTAAGTGCCGAACAAAGGGGGTCGTACGCACCGTGCACGAAAGGAGGTTGCCCTTTAATATCGTCGTAGACTACATTTCAAGAGAGGACGCTAGGGAAGACATTCACTGTTGTGCAGGATCACAGGTTCGCGCAGCGGCGCTCTCTCTTTGTCCCATTCGCAAGTGATGAGCATGTGTGTGTAGGGGGGGGGGGTCGCGAATCTGCGCGTGTTACTACATGTGAGCTGGCGACCCAGCATATCCACTCCCTCATGGTTCCTCTTGCGGACAGAGTTTGTTTCCATGATTAATCGTGGAGCGGACCTGCTTGTCCGTTTTTCTAACGTCGTTCGACTCCAGAGTTCACCATGAAAAGGTTTTCAATTTGAGAAGAACTCTCGTTCAGTGCATTCCTATTGGTTCCAGATTGTTTGGTCATCCTGCAGGTAATTGCATGGTCCTGCCTTCAAAGAGGAATCTCAAGATAGCATCATAGTTTTCTGAAGTTGGATAAGAAATGATGGTATTAACGGCTGACGCAGTCGAACTTCGAGCAATCGGAACCATTAGATGGGAAACTAGCCTTTTGTGCAATTTGATACCGGCTAGGCGCTTATTCGAAACATTATTTGTGCGAAATACATTAAGAATGCATTTTATTTGTTGTTCATTAAACTTAGCTAGCATACCATCTAAAATATGCCTAACTTAACACAGTTAAAGTCTTTCACTGCACCTTCGAGGATTTTCACTAAATATGTGGAGAGTTCTTTAGATACTTTTATTGAGTTGCATCAATGATTCGATGCTACTGCTCGAAATGAGACTCATACGAACAGAGAAAGGAGTTCCTTCGTTTATGATGCATCGGGGAAATTCATCCGAAGAGCCGAAGAGAAGCGTGGTTGCCGAGTAGAAGCCGAGATCATGCACGTAATAGATAATATATTCGGAGAACTTGAGATGCAACTGCATACAGGGATCCTAACGCTCGATAACGATACGTTCCAAGGACTTATCTAATCGCGGCAGTTTCACGCCGTCCTCTAAGTGCAGCGCATGAATCATTCTGGGCCGACCTCTTATCTTCCCCCCTCTTAAGCGAAAGGTAGGCAAGTCGGACAAGGTCACAAGAGTAGCGCTCTTGCGGGAGAAACTTGCAAGTAAGGCTTTTGTAACACAATGCACGGCGTAAGCACGGCTCCATCACCAGCACCGGCAGATCAATATTGCCGTTCTTTCAGGCGAAAGTGAGGCTGGTGACATCGTCTGGGTGCATCGTATGAGATAAGGAAACGTTGCTTGATGAAGGCCCTCGAAGGTTCGATGAATTCTGGGCAGTTTTCTTCAGGCAGTGGTCAGCGATTCATGACAAAGGGAAGGAGTTCGGGAATAATTATTGTGCAAAAGGGGACGTCAACCTTCTTGATTTCTTACCTCATTCTCCTGTCATGGATCGTATATGTGAAACCTGCTGTACCTGTACAGGGTGTCCCAATAGTAATAAATGCCTCCAATAATAATTATGAAAACAGTAAAATGAAGTGGAACTAAAAAAGTTTTCAACATTTTTTTTTGCAATTCTACATGGACACTTTTTGTGGCTCTGTAGGCTTCCAAACGATGTTCAAGCTCTTACCATGACTTACGCACAGTAACTGGATAGTTGCATCAATTCCGTTCTTCAGATCAGATTGAAGATTGCTTACTCAAGAAAAGTTGATAATGCCCTTGACATAGCCCCATAACGGTAAAAATGTCCAGGAGGGATGGGTTCAGGCACATAAAAGTTTAATTTTCTAAGATGTTGCAACTTCACGTTTTACCAAGCTAAGGCATGGAAAAGAAAAGAGATATGTGGATTGGACAAAGCAAGTTCACTCCATGGCCACCAAGATCACCTGAAGAGATCACCCTAGAGGACTTTTTCTTGTGGGCGCTGTCAAGGACACCGCTTACAAGAGAAAAGTAGAGAAGCGATCGGGATCCAAAAAATTAAAAATAAAACAGAATCGTCCGAGCGATCCTGATATTTATGCCTAACACTCGGCAAACGGTGCGTAAGAGTGCGAACATCGCTTAGGCATCTACAGAATCACAAATGGTGCCCATGTGGAATTGCAATTTAGGGACATATTAATATTGACATGTTTCCACAAATTTTGGGACACCCTGTATTTAAGGACCTTACTCTAGAGATATTGAAGTGCGCGTAGTTGAAGCGAGACTTGCATATGTAGCTGGAACAATGCCATTGTAAGCGTGAATTATTCCCTCCGAAATAATTATTCCTCAGCGGAGTTGGACGACTTATTTTGTTTGTCCGTCAATGGCATCCTATGTTGGTACTGGAATCCATGATTTTATTTTTCTGGCAGGCAAAGAAGATGGAAAGGAGCAGATCAAGATGGCCATGACAACGAGGTGAGAGAAAATCCCATATTTACCAGCTCTGAGAAAAATTTAAGGTAAAGTTTACAATTTGAGGTGCGCTGCACCATACGCACAGGATACCATATGTGAATTCAAAAATTGCAAACTAGCGCTGGGTTGATTCTCATTTTACAAATTGTCCTGTGTCCTTCATCAACCAATCATTCGATGCTAGTTTTTGGAAGCTTTAAATGGCACAAATAGTGCAGTACAAAATGTTTATCTTATGAAAAAGGCAAACATTGCACTGGGTTATCTTCCCCGTTAGACCGCGCATGGACACGGACACTGCACACACTGACCAAATCCCTTGCACAAAATTTAATTTGTTGAAATTGAAACGAGAAAATCAACGGTGATTCACTGTTGAATCATCTGTTCCTCGCATCTATGGAATCGTAGTTCAAAAGTGAACACCGTTGCACTTGCGAAAAATCCCCCAGTAGTCCAACGTGGGACTATCCAAATCCTCCAGGTGATCCACAGGGACCGCACTGACAGTTAGCCAATTGGAGTAGTGTGGATATGAGATGTAATGGACTGATGTGGACATGAGAATATCCCCATGTGGACTCCATGTGGATCCTCTTCCTCCACATGTGATCCACGTATGGATTCATCCAAATCCTCCTGGTGGACTTAGGGTAGTCCACATGTGTGGATTTTTCGCAAGGGTGAGTCACCGTTGACTCACCAATGACAATTTTTTATGGGAGCTAGATGCGACGGAACGTTGACGAACTCCAGGTCCTTGGAGGAAGAGCTCCTGTCGGAAGCGGAGAAGTCGCTGAAGCGGCCCAGTGCGTTGATCGGGGTCCTGCGAGCCCTGACCGCTGTCTTGCGGTTCGACACTTTCGGCTATCTAAAGAGAGCTGTTGAAGTGATCTGCAATGCCATGAATTTCCATTCTGACAACGTGAAAATCCACATTGCTGGAAGGTGAGCGATCCTTTTCATTGTCGTGATAATAATTATAGGAATATATTTCGACATTCAGCTCTCTTGGCGTTCTCGCGTATGTTTGCCTCATGGGGAAAAAATTTCAATCCGTACTTCGGATTGAAAATCCGGCAAAAAAAATGTTGGCTGCCCGGCGTTCGTTGTAGCTAATGAACTGGATCCACTTTCAGCCGCAGCTAATCTTTGGGCGTCGTCTTTCTCTGACACATCAAGATGATAATGAAAAGGCCCAGTTTTCGTGGTAGCTTCCTCTGGTAGGACAAAGTGGACACGCCAAATTGATGGAAATATATTACGGAACTGCTTATAGGAACATTTTGAAAGCATTTTGAAAGCTGTGCAGTGCATTAACGAGGGCACACAATGCTTCCGACAATCTTTGCATCTAGATTTATTTAGGATCGACAAACTGGAAATAAAGTAGGATTACAGTTTTGTAGCTTCTGCAACTTCAATTCCCTCAATTTTCCTTAATTTTACTTTAGAGGGCGCTGCNATATTTCTTTCTCGGCCGTGAACAGGCACGAACCTTTCCTCCCGAAGGAAGAAAGAGTTTCTGAAAGGATAGTTGTCAGGCGCGGGACGCTAGGAAGCGAATTTGATCAAATATTTGTTGTCTGTACCTAACAACCTGCCGCAGCGCCCCGTGCCCGTGACATAGACTTCCAAACGATGTTCAAGCTCTTACCATGACTTACGCACAGTAACTGGATAGTTGCATCAATTCCGTTCTTCAAATCAGATTGAAGATTGCTTCCCCAAGAAAAGTTGATAATGCCCTTGACATAGCCCCATAATGGTAAAAAATATCCAAGAGGGATGGGTTCAGGCACAATAAAAGTCTAATTTTCTAAGATGTTGCAACTTCACGTTTTACCAAGCTAAGGCATGGAAAAGAAAACATATGTGGATTGGACAAAGCAAGTTCTATCCATGGCCACCAAGATCACCTGAAGAGATCACCCTAGAGGACTTTTTCTTGTGGGCGCTGTCAAGGACATCGCTTACAAGAGAAAAGTAGAGAAGCGATCAGGATCCAAAAAAATAAAAAATAAAACAGAATCGTCCGAGCGATCCTGATATTTATGCCTAACACTCGGCAAACGGTGCGTAAGAGTGCGAACATCGCTTAGGCATCTACAGAATCACAAATGGTGCCCATGTGGAATTGCAATTTAGGGAGATATTAATTTTGACATGTTTCAATACATTTTGGGACACCCTGTATTTAAGGAACTTGCTCTAGAGATATTGAAGTGCGCGTAGTTGAAGTGAGACTTGCATATCTAGCTGGAACAATGCCATTGTAAGCGTGAATTATTCCCTCCGAAATAATTATTCCTCAGCGGAGTTGGACGATTTATTTTGTTTGTCCATTAATGACATCCTTTGTGGGTACTGGAATCCATGATTTTATTTTTCTGGTAGGCAAAGAAGATGGAAAGGAGCAGATCAAGATGGCCATGACAACGAGGTGAGAGAAAATCCCATATTTACCAGCTCTGAGAAAAATTTAAGGTAAAGTTTACAATTTAAGGTGCGCTCTACCATACGCACAGGATACCATATGTGAATTCAAAAATTGCAACCTAGCGCTGGGTTGAGTCTCATTTTACAAACTGTCCTGTGCTCTTCATCAACCAATCATTCGATGCTGGTTTTTGGAAGCTTTAAATGACCCAAATAGTGCAGTGCAAAATGTTTATCTTATGAAAAAGGCAAACATTGCACTGGGTAATCTTCCCCGTTAGACCGCGCATGGACACGGACACTGCACACACTGACCAAATCCCTTCCACAAAGTTTAATTTGTTGAAATTGAAACGAGAAAATCAACGGTGATTCACTGTTGAATCCTCTACTCCTAGCATCTATGGAATCGTAGTTAAAAAGTGAACACCGTTGCACTTACGAAAAATCCCCCATTAGTCCAACGTGGGACTATCCAAATCCTCCAGGTGATCCACAGGGACCGCACTGACAGTTAGCCAATTGGAGTAGTGTGGACTTACTATGAAATGTAATGGACTGATGTGGACATGAGAATATCCCCATGTGGACTCCATGTGGATCCTCTTCCTCCACATGTGATCCACGTATGGATTCATCCAAATCCTCCTGGTGGACTTAGGGTAGTCCACATGTGTGGATTTTTCGTAAGGGTCAGTCACCGTTGACTCACTAATGACAATTTCTTATGGGAGCTAGATGCGACGGGCCGTTGACGAATTCCAGGTCCTTGGAGGAAGAGCTCCTGTCAGAAGCGGAGAAGTCGCTGAAGCGGCCCAGTGCGTTGATCGGGGTCCTGCGCGCCCTGACCGCTGTCTTGCGGTTCGACACTTTCGGCTATCTAAAGAGAGCTGTTGAAGTGATCTGCACTGCCATGAATTTCCATTCTGACAACGTAAAAATCCATATTGCTGGAAGGTGAGCGATCCTTTTCATTGTCGTGATAATAATTATAGGAATATATTTCGACTTTCAGCTCTCTTGGCGTTCTCGCGTATGTTTGCCTCATGGGGAAAAAATTTCAATCCGTACTTCGGATTGAAAATCCGGCAAAAAAAATGTTGGCTGCCCGGCGTTCGTTGTAGCTAATGAACTGGATCCACTTTCAGCCGCAGCTAATCTTTGGGCGTCGTCTTTCTCTGACACATCAAGATGATAATGAAAAGGCCCAGTTTTCGTGGTAGCTTCCTCTGGTAGGACAAAGTGGACACGCCAAATTGATGGAAATATATTACGGAACTGCTTATAGGAACATTTTGAAAGCATTTTGAAAGCTGTGCAGTGCATTAACGAGGGCACACAATGCTTCCGACAATCTTTGCATCTAGATTTATTTAGGATCGACAAACTGGAAATAAAGTAGGATTACAGTTTTGTAGCTTCTGCAACTTCAATTCCCTCAATTTTCCTTAATTTTACTTTAGAGGGCGCTGCATTTTACGTTTCTCCTGCAACGATAACCATCTTTAACATGTGTCATTGAGGTTTCAGGTCTTCCTATGCAATCAAATAATTAGGTTGATTATAATTATGTCAATCCACGTCTAAAACTCGGTTAGCATGCATATAGGAGTTTTTTGCATTCATATTAGGCATTACCTGAAGGCTCTTTTTCAAACGTTCTCAGCGCTGCATTGCTCCACATGGCAGAACTGAAAAGCACGGAACTGGACGTGGAAGCAAAGAAGCAGATTCTGGACGCCCTTCTCGCGTCGATAACACGGCACCGAGGGCAACCTGAGATTATGCAGAATGTCTTCAACGCAATCACGCAGTTTGAGGAAGACGGCCGGGTGAGGTGAATCCACGAACATAAACCGAATAAAATTCGAAAGATTCTTTGCATCTTTGCAACATTTGCTAGAAACGTGTGGGATCTTGGCTCGGACAGTGGAAAGAAGGCTTTGAAATGCATTAATTTCCTGCAAATAATCAAAATTAAATTCCTTATTCCCTTGGAATTAAATTTCACGTGAATGGAAATTTAGTCAGTCTCATTCGTTTTGAGGTTTCCTTACTCGAGGGTCGGAACGATCAATATGCATTGCACTTACGCTAGATTGTAAATGCCGGCACGCTTTGTTCAAATAAGGAATGGAATGAAACCTGACGGTGGAAACTATCCGCTGATGACTCTGGAAGGTATTTGTTGTCAGCATGACGAATTCCAGGATTTTTCTTCGAAACTCAAAAAGACTAAATCCCATTTATTTGTGGATGGAAGTGGAAAAGTCAATACGATTTTTCCGACTTTGATATTGATCCAGTTGATCACATTTCTTAATGCTTTTACTAGTCTGCTTTGCAGTTTTCTAAAATTCGCTCATTTTCTGTCCTTTCCATTTGATGACCATATTCTCTTACATCGTCGTATTTCCATTAATACTGTAGCTCCTATTGGATTGGTTTTTGAGTTGAATGACATATTCTCCATTTATTGTTATATTCGTTACTTCGATTTTTCTGGAGTACTGTCCCCAGCGCAACTATTATAAATATTATGTTTTGGGGCATCCTGCTTGCGTGGATCGAATTTGAAATCGTCGCTACCGAAGGCGGCCATTACCTTTAGATCTAACAGAACAGGTATTCTTTCACCAGCGTTATCGAAACCTCCAGATTCGTTTAAATATCGTGTATTCCCTTGCCTCAATATTACACCTTTCAAAAAATTATGAGCCGCGGAGGCGAGGAACGAAGAAGGCTTGCGCCCAAACAGATCCAAAGCTTCATAGTCTTTATTGGCTCCTGTTGCACACATTCCCTAAGGCACTGTCTCATTCCACACCTCGTTATGACATAAGTCTAATCATCGAAGAAGGGCCACGGGTGACTCTACCTCGAATGGGGCTCAGGATTTTTGGCGATTTGAATGTCAGCACTGGCATCCAAGTTCTTGCTATTTTTCATCATGAGGCTAACACGAGATAACACCAGCGCGATCTCCAAAGGGTTAATCACAGCGATGTCCTCTCCTTTCATTTGTCAATATTTCATCCCCCTCCCACTCGCGGCTAAGTACAGGGTGGGCCAAAAAAAAACGCCCCAAATTTGAAGTTTAATAACTTGAACCACGTTGGACCAATATCAATTGCTAAAAAATCAAAATGAAGCTTGTTCAATTTTTTCTCGAATGATATAAAAATGTTGGGGGTGTGCTTCAGAGAAATGGCTGCTATTAAAGTTTAAAAAAAGTGACGAAAATTTTTCCTGAAATGAGCCTTTACTCCAAGTTCCTTTCCACACCCCCCCTCCCAAAAAAAAAATTAAATCGTTCGAAAGAAAATTGAACAAGCTTTATTTTGCTTTTAGAACAATTGATATTGACCCAACGGTGTTCAAATTATTAAGCTTCAAATTTGGGGCTTTTTTTGGCCCACCATGTAGGTCGCGATCGTTTACACCTCCTCTCTCCATATTCAAGCTGCTCGAGTACGAGACAGTGGCTCAGGTCCTTCTAAGTGTGATAGGGGCCTTGATGGAAGCCGGCGTGAAAGAAGAGAGTGGTCTCAGCAAAGACGAAAACGTTTGTCTGTATCTAGGGTGCTTGACCCTGCTTCAGATGTGCGGGGGAGCCGAAAGAACGTGCAAAGAACGTCTTGGGGAACTTGGAGTCATGTCGGTCAGTCCTTTGCCAATTAAAATGTGTTCATAATTATAAAACAGACAGAAAGACCGAATTCTCATATTTTTTATGAAAAGAAAACCTTCATGAATTTGGTAACGGGCCAACTGTACTTTCAGGCTATGATTAATGTCATTCAATTGGCGTTGAGTGGGAAATGCCTCGACGCCGTGATGCACCACGCATGGTCGGCCTTAGCCAGCCTCACGGATGAGACCCCTATCAATTCTCAACGGTTCTTGGAGCTTCAAGGGATGGAGTGCTTCATGGCCTGTCTCCCCATCGTGAGTCGACCTTCACCATTTGCCTTGCGATTAGTTTTCAATCGTAAACGTAACAGATAAATTGTTTCGTTGAATAGTTCCGACAACATCTGAATCTTGTTATTAGTACATTTTTCCAAGAATCTAAATGTTCACGTGCATGTTCTCTCCTTTGTGTTCAAGGACAACTACAATGGCACACTTAATTAAACTGGACAGAATAGCACAATTTCCGGAAACCTTGGTTTTCCTTTCAATTATAGATCAGGAAGGCAAACTCGTTTCACCCAATGTTGTTGCCACACACGAAATCATTTAATTTAATAATTTAATGCTACAGCTTGCATGCTCGTAAATTATACCGTACCATTTGTCATAGTAGTTCGGTAATGATCTTTTCTGTACGATGAGGCGGACAACGGAAGGGCAATTTACTGCAATCATGTTTACGTCCATTCTAAAAAAAAAATCACGGCGGCGTTAATGGCACAAAAACCCTTAACAACCCTTACAAAACGTCCACCAACACTTGCATTTGGAACTAGGTGGATTTGTTTTAGGCATAAATCCACCTGCTGACGGGATATTCTCCTGACTCAAAATCCACACAAGGTAAGGCAACCACCATGTTAAAAATCCCCCACCTCTCCAACTTGACGTTTCAACTGGATGCAGGCGGACGTTCTATAAGGGTATTCTAGTACTTATTTGGAATTCACTTTGTCCTCCGATGTGAAACCTCATGCGAACCTTCCACTCCCATACCGGTGAAGGCTCTCCGCGGGAAGGAGGACTTGCTGTCTATCGGGATTGTAGCGGTTGGGAATGTTGTAGAAGTACCAGCGCTTCGACCCCAACTATTGAAACCCGAGTATGTGAACGCTTTCGCAAAGCTCCTCGACTCGAAGATTCAAGGGATTGAGGTGAGCCGATGAAAGCCCATTCTTGAAAACTATTATTACATATGCCATTGTGAAGTACAGTATATATTTTTTACGTTGTGGTTTTAAAGGAGGCAAAATATGATCTGCGCAAACTGCATTTCCCTTCCTCTCTAATTTTCTCGGTAACATTTATTGAACAAAATACAGGTTAGCGACGAAGCTACACGATTTCTGGTGAACTTGCTATCCGATGGCGAAAAGGCGTGGACGATTGAAAAGCCAACGCGTAATGAGATCCTGGACCACCTTGTGGCTGTCTTGGATAGCCGGGATTTGAGTACACGCAGAAACGTGAAAGTCACGTCGTTCGAGCCATGCTTCCGCCTTCTGAGATGTGACCATGTTCCTCAGGCCCAGTATTGGGCCATCTGGTCTATGGCTAACTTCATCGCTCACTCTCGTAAGTACTCAGCAAATACATATTCTGTATTGATTCTGTGCTTTTGTTTTTCGACATACTTTTTGATTGTTTCTGGTTCGAGAACCGAATCCTTCACGCGTTACCCGATAGGAACATATCTTAGCATCAGCACTTCCAGTTTCTCTCTTATATACATCTGTTCCAGGAAGTCACTTGCATTGATAATACAGTATTTTGCCCGTAATCTCAGCTTCCTTCTCATTAAGGGAAGGTCTCTAGAGCAGGAATGCCTTAATATTCTTTCAGGTAAATCCGTCATATGAACCGCGGGAATCCAGTAAAGGAAGGGGCCGCTGCACAGGGTTTCCAAATAAAATCAGCATTTTCTCCGGCCTGGTTGCAAAAATGCACCGAAATTATTTATACACGAAGGAAAGTTTGATGGCCCATGGTAATACTGTATGAAGTGCAAGGGAATGCGATAAAATTATTATAAAGTTAAAACAAAGAGAAAAGAATATGGAAATATTTCCTCAATGGTGAGGCATTCATGGAAATGTTTCCGACTTCTCCCTGGCGAAATAAGACCCTCGTTTTATTTTCTCTCGACTGATCGAGTAGGAGAATGGGAAATTTATTTCAGAACCATCAACAACAGTTCATTCATTTCCTGGATGTGTTGAAAGACCATAGAGATTGACCGAACATGTCTACAGAGCCATCTCATCTCTAATCCACCATGTTGATTTTCTAGCTGCTGAATACTGCAAGCTCGTGGATAAAGACGAAGACCTGGAGTTGATTCAGAGACTTGGACAAGACCAGACTATATATCCCCGCATTCCTGAACTTGCAGACGTCGTGATGGTCAACTGCGTCATGCAGAGAAGTGCTGGTAACGAGCCATTCCGATATGAATACATGATACCATATTTCCAATTGCATTGTCTCTTTTTCTGAAAATTGAAATTGTTAACACTATAGTATAGGAGTGTGGAGCCTTTTTGGAGGTAGTAGCTTTAAAGGGAGTGTTAAAAAATTGCATGCTGATGCAGGCACTGATGTATGCACGACACTTCTCATTGGGCCTCATATATCGATGCAATAAATAATGCTCTTTTTAAGACAGGACATGCATAGGAAACAAACGACAAGGAACCTATTACATTACACAGACAGGAAAGGGAGATGCCCGCTTGACTCAGTCACCATATCCTTATAACAGTCCCCCAGACTGGCACACCCCAAAACCGCCCCATAGGAGGCTGAAGGGGCAGTTCACGGGTTGCGAAAGCTGATGATTGGCCAAGTAATTATATTTGTCATGGAAAGAAGCGCTGTTAACGTACCATTCCGATATGAATACACAAGACCAGATTTTCAATTTTAATCTTTTCTTTGAAAATGAAGGAATGTGCATACCTTAGGAGTGGCTTAGGCTTAAAGCAGTTACCTCCGAATAGGTCTCCTATTCGGAGGTAACTCCTTTAAAGGGAGTGTCATAAAATGCAAGCTGATGCAGTCGCTCTTGCATGCACCACACTTCCCATGGGGCCTCAAGTATTTGTGATAAAGGATGCTCGCTAAAATCAGCACTACTTCAAACTTGTCGATTTTAACTTACGTGTTTCAGGTCGCTATCGGATTTGTACCATCTGTAGCGTTCATATCCCGATTTGTTTTCCCTGTAGCTGAGGAAGGGCAGGCTGAGGAAGTTTCTGAAGAGGTCCAAAACATCTCCACAGATCCACCTCCTCAAAAATTATTCTTGAAACGAAAGAAGGCACCAGTCATGTTGAATATCGTCAAAATATATCCCAACTGGGAGAACGAAACACGATTCTTTCCCCCTGAAGTAAACTTGAAACAGTGGTTGGATGAGGCTAAAAACTCACACGAGAAGATGGTACGGTCCCTGTACTGGATGCTTCATCGCTTTGGGAAGCACTCGGGACAGCCGATGTATGCCGGCTACAGAATCGGATTCGAACTGAAACAGAGATATCTTCCAGATGCCTCGAAGTCGTCTATGCATGGTGAGCACGAAATCATGGTCATTTATCGGAAAATGGGAATCATTACTATTCGAGTGACAGAAGCAACGGTGGAGACAATAGGAAGCTGCGTGGAAGAGGCAAGGCAAGAACTAAACAAAGAAAGTGAGCACCTAGGGGAATTGATGAAGGAAAACGAAGTGGAAATGGTAACC